GAGTTTACGGGTATGACCGCAGTCCTTTGTGGTCGCATGCAAAATCATTTTTGCATTTTGCAATTTTTAGAGGAGCACACATTAACTATTTTTTAGAGTTATTAATTATCTGATTTTGTATACAGTGTATAGTTAAATCAAGTTTGTAATATCTACTTGTTTATCTTATGGTGTGACGTGTACGTGTAGGAACCGCACAGAAGAAGGGTTGAAAGAACCCTTTATTAAAACTATTTACAACTCACAATGCGTCGACTTGACGCTAACAAACTACGCCTCGCTCGGCCGGTAACTCAAATAACAAGAAATAAGCTAAAACTTCAATGATATTAACAAACAGTAGAATTACTCTACTGGGCTCAGATGACCCTGTTACTTAAAACTGCGTCGAAGTCTGGTAGCAGCAAAGTAATAGCTGTTAAGCCACTTTAAACAATAAATGCAGAATCAGAAGCTCACGCCACAAAGGTACAGTGCTTGCCCATACTCTCTAACTTTCCATTCCGTTCCTTTTGCCGATGTCACCGTGTCTAGCTTACAAAGCTGCAAGTTGTATACCAGCTACCTTCATTTGGTTTCTTCATGTAGCGACGGCTAAGTGACAGGGACAGAAATGTCTAAGTGAGTCCTGGAGACAAGATTTAATACATAAAATAAACATTTTACTCATAAACTGGAAGACTATATACACAATATTTACAACCATTTTCTTTGCATTAAATGAGAGATTAGGACGAAATTAAAATCATGCTATAAACACATATTAGCTAAGCTATTGAACAGAGCTGATGCTAAAGCACATTTAAGCTTTATATAGGAAAATTTTGGTTATCGCTGAGCGTGAAAGACGCAAAAGGGCGAAGATGATGGTCCTAATGAAGAATATGAGGAATCTCGTAGCTGAAAAGTTCAAAGGGGTTCATTATATAGCATTCTTGTGCTTCCTGATAGAAGCGTTCATTAAGTTAGAGAAGCTTCGCCAACGGTTCGATTTTAAGGTTACATTGAAGACATTTGTTACACACATAAAAATTGGCATTTGTAATAATGCGAAGATATCTGCTTTGCACCACTTGAAGCTTCTTAAGTTCCTTATCGGAGATAGTTGCCCATGCCGGCGAAGTGTAAATCATGACTGGCCAGATAACGGAGAGGTAAATAAGTCTCTTCTTGTTCAGTTCCAGTGAAGAGAATTTCCCAATAACTGAGAATAAGCATTTGATTATTTTAAGTGTCCTGCCACGCATATTATTAACGTGATGTGTCCAAGTAAGGCGGTTGTTAAATAAAAAGCCAAGATATTTGGCCTGGGAAACCTCCAGAACAATTTCGTTGAATAAAGAAAGTTGTTTTTAAATCGGAGCGTTTCCAAATGATCAAGAGCTGCAACTTTGAGTCATTAGTTTGGATTTTCCATTGTGCACACCACTGTTCAATTGGAAGGACCAATAAGATCTTGCAGTTTTTTGACTGCGTGATTTATATTTGCAGATTTTCGCGGTGTCATCTGCATAGCAAGCAAAAATAGAGTTGTTCTGTGGTACTTCCGGAAAATCTGCAGCATAAAATAAATAAAATATCTGTCCTAGGACCGAGTCTTGAGGAATACCACTACGAATATTCTTTTTGTAGGAGACACCACCATTTACACAAGCATAAAAGGTTCTGTTCGTGATGAAAGAATGTATCGTAAGTAATAGCTCTCGATCAATGTGACAGGAAATCAATTTTGAGATAATTTCCTCATGCCAGGCACGGTTTAAAGCTTTCGCCATGTCTAGCATGAGGATAGCAACACACTGTTTGTTATGGAGCGCTGAGCCAGCAAACTCCTTAATCCGTACTAATTGCTTGGTCGTCGAAAGCTTTGATCAAAAACCAAATTGTTCAGGCGCTAGTAAATTAAGATAAGGTTGCATCGGTGATAAAATAATCCGTTCATAGATTTTTCCTAGAACTGGTAGCAAACTGATCGTCCGATAACCTTCAGGTTTATTGTGATCCTTACCAGGCTTCGGAATCAATATAACTTTTGTACATTTCCATAAGATAGGAAAATAGTTGTGGTACAACCATGCATTTAAAATGCTGGTGAGTTTACAAATAATGTTGTGGGGCTGGTTTTTGATAGCAGCATTTGTGATGCCATCATTACCGGGCGCTTTCAGCTGTTTAAGTTTTTAATAGTATTCACAACTTCCACAGGAGTGGCAAATTTCGGGATATTTTTGACAGATGGTGCACAGATCCAGTCATGTACTTGAAGTAACGTAGATGATTCTCTCTAACTTTCCCTTCTAGAACCTTTTAAAAAAATCTTAAACCTTTTCTCCTCAAGGTAGGATTTGCACTACTTTACGCGTGTTAACAAATTTAAATATTCTGGCATTGACAATTAGGGAAATGAAGGCTTATATGAAAGCGTAAACTTAAATTCAACTGGTTATTCAAAATAAATATAAATCCCTACAAGTTCTTAGAACAATATTCTTCTAGCAATGTTAATGAACAATAAAATGCTAACATCAAACTTCCTTCAGGGAAAACCATAAATTTCACTTGAACCCATGCGCAGATAGAAATATTTATACTATACAGCCTTTATAAATTTGAGCTAACACTCAATCACTACCAAATAATAAATAAATAATACAATTGCTACGTATTTTAACTCCCCTTATAAGAATGGAAGTAATGCATTGAATTCATTATACAAACTCGCAAATTAAAGAGTTCTGCGAATGTTTCCGAAACAAGATATTAACTCCAAATTATGAAAGCATATTTTTATGACTATGAAGTAGGGAATTCAATAAATAGGTTTAAAAAAGCTGCAGAAATGAAAATGCTTGGCAACCAGTTTTATTTCTCCGCATGACGACACGGACACCAAGACTGCTGTCCCATCGGTCTATAGAGTCTCAGTACGTATTGCAGTACTGCTGCAGCTGCATACGAAACTTCCCCTGCGTCAGCGTCCGTATCATTCGTGAAAATGTGTACCACTAAGGCTGCTATTACACGTCGGTTTGTTTCGAAAGAACAATTGTTTGAAACAATTTTTCTGCTTTGTCACAACAGCCAATCACCATACATCGCTTTGGGTTTAACACAGGGCAAATTGTTTCCGCATTACAAACAAGCTGATAGCCTAAGGGTGAGCTTCTATGGAATCAAACAAGTGAAAATCACTTTGGACTAAGCTGAGGTTGAACGAAGGCTGCTGAAGGCATACCAGTCAATCCTCATTTATTTCATCGGCCCATTTTCTTCGTTAAGAATAGAGGTAACAAGCATAATTCTTAATTTATTGCTATTAAAAACTACGTTTTTGCATTCTAATACAAATGTAAATATTTATCTGTATGATTTATTTTTATTGCATTAATATTAATGCATTACAACAAATATGCCAGTCTTACAGCGTAACATAGTGTTACGTTTCGATTCTAAGACTATATTCGATTTGAACGGAAGTTTAAAAAGGAGAGGAGGAGCAGGAAAAGAATTCAAATTTCATTTTATATGAGCATAAGATGCAAAACATTTAAGAGAGATAAGTGTTTAATTTTAATCAAGTTAAGAATTTCTAATATTTGCTTAGGTAAGTCAAATTTATACATAAAATTACTATGAAAAAAATATTTTTCTGAATGATTAGCTCTTCTATCAGCTGATTTTTGAATATCTAATTTATTAACCTTCCCTCCCTTACCCTCGAACTATTTTAATTTAATCCTCGAACTATTTTAAAGTTAAATTTAAAAACTTCACAATATTTTTTTTAATTATTCATTCAATTATATTTGCTTCTTTAATTTAATATCGAAAAGCATTTGCGAGCTAATTGCCTCGAATGCATGAAAGAATATCTTCGAGATTCGACAAGGGGAAAATGGTTCGTGTTATTTCGTTACACGTCGAGAAAACAATGAAAACACATGTGGCCGGCCAGGACTCGAAGCAAAGTTAAGCCTCATATTATGGATGCAGCTTTATATACAGTTGCAGTTTTTAATAACAAGACTAATTACTAACTTTATCTTTTCTACTTTTTGCAGTAATAAATTCCATGCAAATAGCATGCATAAAATTTTTAATTAATTTGCTTCAAGAGGCTATTATCTTCATCCCATTAGAACGATTTATTATTTGATGCAGATAATTTTGATATATTATATAAATATGGACCAATAAATGTAATATTAAAGCTAAATATTATACGAAGTATGAGATAATGTTTTTTTTGCCTCACTTTAAATATTAATCAGTATTAAACGGTTGATAATTAACTATTTTAAGCGGTTTAGATAATTGTTTAAGAAGAAGCACATAGACAGACTTATGTATCCAGATGAAGTGATGACTACCTGGAGGGCTTTCTAGCAAGGAAGATCTCCCAGCTTTGAATTCTTAATTTTTTACTGGAAAATATCTGTGAGCGTTCTCTTCAAGGCATAGTATATGATAGGTAAAAACAACTAGCTGTTTATAGTCTACAGGTAGTTCCAAAAACTATTAAATATCAAGTTTTCGATTGCGAATGGCGAAATTTCTGAAGAAATTTGGCATAGTTATAAAATTTCATAATTTTTCCAGAACTGCTGCATTGTTAAATATAGTTAAATTTCTATGTTCCGAATTTCCTGTTTACGTCGATTTAGTCGTTATTTTTTTAACATTAGGTGTTTTTAAGTGTGCAAAAATAGTCAGAAACTCAGATAGTCAGAGTCAGAAACGTATGTATGTATGTATGCACGTGTATTTGTATGTGTGTATGTATAAACACACATACATACGTAAATACATACGCACATACATATATGAACGCATACGTTCATTCGTGCACTTTACATATATACATACCTTTCTGAATCCGGTCCTGATAACTGAATATTGATACACTACTAATTCAGAGTACAGAGTTGCTGTGCCTAAAATTAGGAAGGAGGAATACTAGTACAGAGTTGCTGTGCCTAAAAGTAGGAAGGAGGAGTAGAGGCAGTCTCAAAACTTTTTATTCAGGTAATGCACTACACAGAAAATATTTTACTCATTTAAATTTAGATCTTATTGTAAGTTCATTGTGCACTTTTTAAACTTCTAAACGGCTTCAGGTGCTCTAAGCTCTTTGATTAGTGCTTAAGAACCTTTTTTGAGATCTCGTGGCCCCATGCTCATAAACTTTTCAATGATTATAATCATAGCGTCAAAAATTAGTCCATATTCACTCTTCGCGCTCACAGCTTTTAACTTCATAGTCAAACTTTGAAAGCTCCCCTCACTATTCTCTCAGTGATTTATTTGCCAGCTGCTTCGACTTCACGGTGTAACGGTTTCCTTTAGTGCATTGCCCATGTCTCCATTCAACTACAGATACTAGAATGATAAAGGGGCACATTAGTTTACAGAATATGCAGTGAAAACGAAAGGATATAATAAACGTTAAAGAACAGTAAGTTGCAATTACATAAATTGTCTGTTTCTAGATGGCTTCACAATTTGCTACAATTGAACTCAATTTCATTTTTAGAGCAACAAGTAAATGAAAGAGAATTCAAATGCTGTGAAACTTGACATTTTACTTAAAGTCGAAAAAAGGTAATTAACCGTTTAAAAGCCAGAAAAAAACGTTTCCTTTTCTTTATTAATTATGAACAGTCTGCTCTCAATTTTCAGTACAGTATCAGAATAGAATATAATAGAAATTCTTATATAAAAATAATTATAAATATGCAGCGCTATTAGGAACAGTTTCCACAGAACATAAAATGTTGTTTATCAGAGTTTGATCTATTGGCTTTATTATCCAAGTAGCCATAAATTATTTCATCTTTGATAGTTTACAGAACTTTAAGTTTTTAGTGCAAGAAATGGGAAACATCAACTGTTCTGTTACCGAGAACTGAACCACAAATCTTTCATTGCTAGTTAGCTGTCCTAACCACATGCTCAAGGATGTGAGGGTGCTCAAAGGTTTTCTATATAAATATCTATTTTATATAGAAATTTCTATTTTATTCTAGGATAAAGAAAAAGAAAACATATCTTTATGAGGAAATAAAAACTTGTAGGGTTTATATTTATTTTAATTAACATTGATTTGAAGTTTAAACTATCTTTCCTGTCAAGCCTTACTTTCCCCTGGAATTGCCAATGCCAGAGTATGTAAATTTTAGTAGAACGCGCGAAGTATTCAAATTGTCAGCGGAAGTAATCTGAGTTAAATAGAAGGGAAACGAGTCCGATAGTGTGGTTTCTTGCTTCACGAGCGTGAAGGTGGCTAGGTAGAAATTGAAGAACCGCGCGTTTCGACCTGTGTGCTTGCCTCGGCAGATAGTTGAATCTTTGAACTTAATATTCAGAAGTTTGCTGAAATATCAGCGTAACTCAGAACGCGGTAGGTTAGTTACGTTTAGAGAGCCTCGTAGGTAGTAACTTGTTATTATTCAGGTTTAGTTTCTTATTTTTATTTTACCGCCGGGTCGGCGTAGTTTGTGAGCGTCAAGAGCACGTACGAATACACTCCTTATTCCAGAAGTTATCAAATACAGCATACACTCCTTATTCCAGAAGTTATCAAATACACAAAAGAGAAGAAAGTTATCAAATACAGCATTGTACTGTGTGATTTAGTTGCAATGAAGCAACATTCAGATATTTTTTACTGTTCAGTAACTGCTAGTTAAGGGTCATTGAGCATAAAAGGGTTACAGGATGATTTTCTAAAGCGCAGATATAGTTACAGACAACGTCCTGCCATGTATAGTGTCTGCGTGTCATGGTGACACTTAAATTTCTGGCCATCCAGACTCCTCTCGAATCGCTTGGTGACAGTGGAAAAGTAGTAGGAGACAATCAAACCATCAGGGTCGGGGTGTTCTTCACCAAACTTGGAGCGGAGTTGCGCAATTAGCGGTGAGGCTACACCTGTACTACCAACGGGGAATTTCTGTTAAATCCCACCCAGCCTGTGCCTATCACATAATGCACAAAAAAATTAACGTATGTATTGAGCTGCTGATGAAGGTGCATGGATCATCGCCTCTGTGCTCACAAGTATAAGGCACAAGCACATCACAAGATAAAAGCGTGTGAAACTACTTTCACTGGTGGCTGAGTGGTTAAGATGCTGAATGGCTGATAGTTCGATTCCTGATGCTGGCGTGCTGGTTACTTGGTTGGTTTTCGTGGTTCCCTCCATGTGTAATGCGAATACGAGTTTATTTTTTCCAAACTCGTTTTCCACGAAGACGTCCCTCCGCTTAGGCAGATAGCTCTCGTGCTCTTTTGAATATAACAAAGAGCACGAGAGCTATTTTGTTATATTCTATTTGAATATAACAAAGAGCATTACAAACAAACAAAACTTGAATTACTCGAATACCGAGAATCTCGAATTCCTGTAACGAGGGCGTAATACTTAGCTATTCGTTTCTTTGAGGCGGTGAAATGCACTGGAAATGGTATTGTCAGTTGCTATTCGAATAGTAACTGAATAGTTAACGCTCAGCATACCGCCTACAAACGTCTCATACATAACGATTACAGATGCTACAAAATATTACGATCTCACTCTACTGATTAAATGAATAACCAGTCAGAAATTTTGAAAGGATTTAGATATGCAACAGATGGCCACAATGCCTTCAGTTTAGAAGATGGCTTAAATGCTTGAATATTCAAGGTGACTTAAGTCTCTAGGTCTTGGAATGTGCTTTTGCTGTTCTAAACACACATACAAAATTTGTGAGAAAGGCATTGTCAGCGTACATGCGAATTTTGCGCAAGCCTGGTATTTATCACTTAAAGAGTGATATCATCAAACGTAACTGAAGTTCGTTTATAAATATGTTTGTTTCAATGCACTCTGTATAAATGCACTCTATTCAATGCGCTCTGTTCAGTGTACTTTGTATTTATATTCAGTGATGACACCGAAAATAAATCACTCAGCATGTTAATTATGCATATCTTAACGCCGATTCAAGGTATTAAGGTGATCCCGCGCAACTTTATATACTGCCATCTCCTTTTACCTTACTTTACTTTTTATTTATGAATTACTTTCGCTGCATAATTAAATTTCATAATTTCCTTAACTTTTAACTACACACGGCAACAATCGCATTTCTGATTTAGAAAAGATAAACCTTACCCTTCATTTCAATATACTACATAGGGTACTTATGAGCTTTTGATCCTATGCAGAGTGCTCATAAAGTCAGGTTCTTTTATTTCAAGAATGAATTACTCGCATGATATATATAAATCCAATTACGTTTCATCGATGTTCGTTTTATAAGAACATTGACCTAAAAAAGTGGAGATTGTGTCTTTTTTCAAGAACTAGGGTCCCCCAGATGTCCCGAACATTTTTCTGTGTCTAAGTCTGAATTCAACTGAGTTCTCTTTCTGTTGGAATATTTAGAAGATCAATTGTACAAGAATAATACAGTAGCTGTAAAACACTTAGAGACCAATACAATTCACGCTATTAAATAAATTCCGCGTACAATGTTTACGACAGGTAGCATCTAATTTTAACTTCAAACATTACCTTTTCTATCTACTTGCTCAAAATATGTTAAGTAAAAAAAATTTTTTTTCATCACCAGTTGTTCCTAAACTCCTGTACACAATATTAAATTATGAACAATATTGAAGCGTCGCAATATTGAAGTATGAATTGCAACTATTATCGAAGTTGATGAATTAAAACAAAATGAGCTGAAGGTGGAATTTTCTGAATTGCGAGTGATATATTAGTCTTTAGGTCTTCATAATTCTCAGATTACTGTAGTACACATATTGATTTTCCTAATTTTTAGAACAGAATGCCACCGAATTTGCGAATAACTTTTACTTATCTATTTCTCTTTCGATATAGTGGCATAAAACCAAAAACATTTTTAAAGTAAATTGATAAAACCAAAAACATTTTTAAAGTAAAAAGAAAGTAAATTGGTGGCTCATGTTCAGAGACACTTTACTTTAGCTTCCACTGACAAGCAGAATCGTACAAGGTCATAATGAAAGCTGGAAGTTATACAAAGGACATAGTCTTGGCCTGTTAAGCGCTTTTTTGATTCTTGATAATAGCATTCATTATATATGCATGCTTAACTATTGCGAGACGAGTGCCTTGTATTCCTTAATTATTAGCTTACTTATTACTTACTTTCACATATTCACAGACGTGTAATTAGCGACAAAAAAAGAAGCGACGGAGAATATGTTGGCAGTACAGAGAAGCATGAGATTTACGATATAGATATGAACCACTTTACTAGTTATAACCACTTTATTTCTATTAGTCGGTTGAAAATATTTGATTTGCAGATTTTCCATTCCGATTAGGTAAACGTATGTATCCCTTCAGCCGTTCTCTTAAACGTTATATGAGAATCATGTGATATGGTCTTTTTGAAATAAGTCATTTCGGAAAGATTTATTATAAGTATAATACTGTTTTTAAGTTAGAAACAAAAAATAACTAGTTGAAAACGAAATTTATGTAGCTGTTACAAAACTAAATTTTATCTTACATAATACACTTTTCAGAAAGAGTAATGCTTAGAAAACGAAAAGCTTCGGGGTAAAAAAAAGCGTTCAAGCAGAATAAAATAAAGAAAAATATTATCATATGGAAATATCAAAACTTGAACTGAATAATAATTTCTAAAAATGCATAATATAAATTTTCAGCATTACACTTTTTGAAAATAAATGCAATTCTTAGAGAAATTTCTATCGTCAGTGCAATTAGTTTACAAATTTTCTTATTTATGCAAACTTTATCTTAGTTATGAAGATTCTCCAGGGAAAGCTCTCTGATTTTCCTAATTTTTAGAACAGAATGCCACCGAATTTGCGAATAACTTTTACTTATCTATTTCTCTTTCGATATAGTGGCATAAAACCAAAAACATTTTTAACATTTTATTTTTCACATTTACTATACTCTGCTTTTAAATATAATATGCTATTAAAATTACGGTTCTTTTTTATTTACATAGACTTTCAAGTCTTATTTTTATATTAAATGTAGGCTCCTGAATTCACTAATCACAAATATTTCAAGATAAACCTCTTATTTCCCTGGAATTTATTGATAAATTCACTAATTAAGCAGTGTTTACGCAGTTACTTGATAAGAGCTTCTTTATTTGCATGAGGTAATTAGCCCTCTGAGAACTGCATTAAATCAAAGCAAAAATTAAATTTGTAAAATGTACATTCACTAATATTAGTGATAGACCTCACGTTTTTTTAATTTAAGGTTACATGACGCACTACTAATTCTTAACCTTCAGCAAGAAAAACCTAAGTTTTAGAAAATTTTGGAAAAAAGGTAAGATGTTATTTTTATATATTTA